TTATATGGTTCAAAATCCGCGGTCGGCCACTTTTACGCAAGTTAACACATGGTATCCCTTCTTCACATTCTCTGATTGTGCGATAAATTGTCGATTTGCTTATGTTTTGATCTCGATAAATATTAACAATATCTCGTTTCGACATTCGCCCAACCATATTATAAACACCTCGACGAATATCAATTTTATAAGACATTTTGCAGAGCACAAACCAAAATATTCTGCTTTGTTTATTAAATGTCAATAACTGATGACATTTCAATTCCATGGCCTTCTTTGTTAAATGTATTTTGCTTCTCAATCAGACCAGGTGAAATTTTTCCCAATAGTTTAGGACCATACGTTTATAATAGAGAGAGTGTTCAATACTTACAATTTCCTGTTTTAAAGAATACAAATTGAACCTGTGGTATTGAATCATCTCTCTTATTACGTCTTAATCTTATACACGAAGTTTATCAATGTTTAAATCATGTTACATCACAGAGTAAAGACAATCGAAAATAATCTACCTACAAATACAATTTTAAATGTAGTGATGTAAGTATATCGATAAGTAAAGATTTACATCCAGAAAGGTGTCGTCACACCTTTCTCGTTCAATAAACTAATTTTTTTTTGTATTACGCACAAAAACAAAACAAAACACCTGACATATGCGTTTTTGATTTACTCTTTACATTTTATGTTTGCTTTTCTATATTAATATTTATTTTAGAGAACAATAAAAGTTGGGCTTATAGTACAGTTCGCTTAAAATATCAGTCTAAGTATTGTAATTTCGAATTTTTAAACGGGTCTGTACCTCTGGATTATTAAGTCAAGTTTGTTAGGATTTATAATTTTATTTAAAGAATTACTATGTTTTTCTTGTACTAAATGTACACTGCACTTTGAATTGTTGTGAACAAGTATAATAAAAAACTAAAAATCAACCAATAGAAATAAAATATCAACTTTAACACGTTTTAAAGATATAAGTTTATTCTTTATAGAATGTATTAGTTGTAGAGCTTTAATAGCTTTGAGTTCCTCTTTTCTCTACAGTCTTTTCGTGTATTGGCAGTTCTTGATAGACTTTTTCAACTGCACTAATTATGTCTAATGTAGGAACTGATGGACATGTTACGCCTAATTAAGACCTTTTGAGAGCATCAGATTCTCTGTTGCGTTCAACTGTCTGTTGGGTAGACTAGCAACTTTAAGTGCTGTTTGCATTGTGTCGTATTTGGTTATTGTATTTGGTGTTGCTGATGTTTTTTATAAGGTTGTTACAGTCATTCTGGATAACTTTGATTCTCTTCTTCTTCTTCTACTTTTTGTAGATCTTTCGATCTGTTTAATTCTGAAGCTGCCTCTGGTTAATTTCTTGGGAGGTAAATTGCCAACTATCCCTCCATCTTTTAGGTGGTCTTCCGTGGGGTCTTGAACCAGGCGGATTGTTTTCTAGGGCAATTTTTGGAGTCTATTCTCATCCATTCGTCTTACATGGTTGTACCACATCCTCTTGCGCTGTCTTCCCCATCTTACAATATCTTGAATTTTGCACTGCTCTCTAATGTTTGTATTTCTCACTCTCTCCCTTCTTGTTTTCCCCATTATTGTTCTTAGGGTTTTCATTTCGGCAACCCTTAGCATCTGTTTCGTTTTGTTGGTATCTTCGCGCACTTCTATGCCATATGTCATGATCGGTCGTATGCAAGTCTTATAGATTCTAATTTTACTATCTGTGCGCATATACGGATTAGACCAGACTATCTCCCGCAGACATCCTGACAGTGCAGATGCTTTGTTGATCTGACTCCTCAGGTCCTTTACTGGGTCATGGGTGCTTGATATATCTATGCCCAGATATCTGAATTGCATAACCTGTTCTATGGGGTTGTCCTCAACCACTAACTTACATCTGAGCGGATCTTTTGCTATTGTCATACATTTAGTTTTGTTGGTAGAGATGTTCATATTTAATAGTCGGCTTGTTTGAAAGAACTGAAAGAGCTGCCTTTGGAGATCATCTTCTGATTCGGCAATAATTGCTGCATCGTCTGCGTAGCACACCATACCAATTCTTTTGTTGCCCATTCTATATCCGAGATTAAGAGATGTTACTTTGTTGATAATTTTGCCCATGAGAAGATTAAACAAGAAGGGGCTTAAACTGTCGCCTTGTCTAATTCCTCCCGGTGTTGGAATATTTTCAGTGAATTCGTCTCCTGCTCTAACTTTGGTTACGTTGTTGTTATTTAGGTTATGGAGTATCTTTGTTACACTGGTCGGTGTTTCAATTTCTATTAATATATTTAGAATGTCTCCCAGGCGAACTCTGTCAAATGACTTCGTCAAATCAATGAAGCAAATATACGCTGGCATGCCGAACTCTATAGCTTTTTCTTTTATTTGTTTTATTACAAATACTGCGTCTGTTATAGACCGCCCTTTTGTAAAACCTTGTTGTTCTTTCAGCATTAGTGATTTGCTTTTTCCAATTTGTCCTTGAGAATACCAAGGACATTGATCCATAAGGTATAACTTTGCACCATTCTTTTTATATAAGTGTAACTTATAAGTAGTATTCTTGTTGTTAAAACTGTTTAATTTGGATAAATCGCAATAGAGGTCGCTTTTATTGAGCGATGTCCGTTAAGTTTGGAGGCGTCCGATACGCTGCATTGTGTCAAACTTGAGTTTGTATACAGTTTTGTCTATTGATAATAATTTAAAGTATTTATTTATACTGATTCTGTTGAAAAGGTAAGTATGCAGAGGGTTTTACCTATTGTATTAATGATTTCGGATAACTTTCTGTAAAATTTCTTTTAAAGTGCTGTAGTAAAATTGGTCAAACCGTCGCATGTTGCGGTAGCAATAAAAATGGTATTTGTACGTCGTTTTAAGTCGAACAAATAGTATCGATAGCAAATTTTTAATTCCCGCTACTGATGTCGGTTATTTAGGGCATTTGTTGCGCAACGAGAAATACTACCATCCCCTCAGTTGATAATAAAAGGCAAAATAGAAGGAAAGCGAGGAATTGGAAGAAAAAAATTGTCCTGGTTACGTAATATCAGAAACTGGACAGGACTTGGATTTGAAAAACTCTTAAGAGCAGCTGAAGATAGACAAACGTTTGCCACCATAACCGCTAACCTCCATTGATGGAGACGGCACTTGAAGAAGAAGAAGTTTCATCTAAATTGAAAATGCGTGTACCTTCAGAAAATCCCTCAAAACGCTTCAAAACTTTCCAAATTCAAAAAAAAATGCATCCAGATTACAACGATTAAATAATAATAGTAGTTTTGGATAATCTGCGACGTTCTGGTTAGCGGATACTGAGTTTGGGATGTCTCTTTCTGTCATTTCTTCCCATTTCTGAGTTACCTCACGTCTTTTGTTGACTTCAGTTATAATAATAAATAATAATCAGTTAACAGATTTTGCTGCATTGTATTACGTAATTTTAAAGCAATGTTTTTAATCATTTAATACACTAAGAGTATCATAGTGGGGTTTATACAATAATATGTCGTTGGGAGAGCATCTTTAGCTTTCTTTACGTATCGCGCTAATATTTGATGTTTATTGATATTTTTTTAACTACTATTCTGAGGCTTAAGTTATGTTTTAACATATCTCCTACAGAACTTTTCATAGCAAATCCGACAATTCTGCGTTAGCCTGGCCTTCTGGCCTTTGCTGATGATATAGATGCAGTCACGCATTGTACAAGAGACGTGAGAAAGGTGTTTTCACAGCTCGAGGAGGAAACAGGTAGTCTGGCTCTTCGAATAAATAAAGAAAAGACAAAATACATGGTACTAACCAAAAGTCCAAGACCAAGAGTTAGGCAGAACATCAGTGTTAATGATCACAACTTCTGAGTAGTAAAGAAGTTTAAATACCTGGGGCGATAATCACAGATGACAACCACATAGAAAAGGAGGTCTCAGCAAGGATAGCTGCAAGAAATAGAGCATATTCCCTCTCAACATTATTAAGATCGAAGCTACTAAAACGAAAATCTAAATTAACACTGTACAAGTCGATTATTTGCCCAATTATTACATATGACAGTGAAACATGTACTCTCAACCAGCGAAAATCAATAAACTTTTAGTATTTGAAAGAAATTTGTCAGAATAAGATTTGGCGCTCAAAGAGATGAATTCCCAGCGGATTAGGGAAGACGCCGCAACGCTGAATTGGTGACTCCGTATGGAACTGAAAACATAGTTAGGCATATCATGGCAAACCGAATAAGATGGGCAGGTCACGTGGTACGATCAGAGTATGACAGTGTTAAAGGCAGTGTTTTTTGAAAGACCAGATGGTAGAAGATCAGTGGGCCGACAAGAAAAAAATGGAAGGATGCGGCGAAGACTCACCCCAAGTTGTAAAGCCAGTGAAGAAGAAGAAGACGAAGATGAAGAAGAGGAAGATAAAATATTATTAAAACAGTCTTTAATATTATAAACATCGTACAAAAAGAAAACAGACAATCACAGAAGAAAACAGAAGGTCTGCTCGGCCAACTAAAACATTTTAAAAATATTATATCTGGAATATAACTCCTTATAGTTTTTAGTATAAAAAATTTACCCTTTCGAAAATAAACAACTCGTAAAAATGCTCTTAGGATGCATGCACGTGCGTAAGCAACACAAGAAGAACTGACTGTTAACGGCAATTACTATATAGAACAAAATGCCATTTCTAGGGCGTATTTTGGAAATTGTTGCGAAAATTGTCTCATGGTGCACGCGTCTTAAGATGACCTACTCTCCCCTACAAATTTTAATAATTTTGGACTGGGCGCGCAGATATTTTTAAGGTTATACTCGTTTAGAAAATCCATAAGCTCTAACACCTATCTGAGAAAAATATGTACTATAACAGAAACAGAAGGAAAGATATATAATATTATCCTTATTGTTTTTTAAATGCAAATGTTTTGTTAGACTGACTGTTATAAAAATTTCAATAATCATATTCTGTTTCAGTAAATAATAGAATGGGATCAAACAAAAGATAAATCAAACACTTAAAATAGAAGTGTTTGTCGAAGTTAAACCCCTGACAAAAAGGACTATCGGCTTCTTTTATCCACGTCAAATATTTGCTCTTTTTTGCATATAAATATAATATACTCATCAAAATGTTGGCAGAAGAGTACAATACACTAATGGGTGCCAAAGTGAAGATGGCCGTTCCTGAAAAGGAAAAATATTGGGCCCAAATCTTAACGATTCTGGTTGGTAAGTAGATTTACAAATTCACAAAATAGAAATCACAAATTTGTGAATATAAATCAGCATTTTGTGTACAATTTATGCAGCAATTTTTCTTGTGTTTTCTTATTTTTCTTCCTCTTTATAAGCAATTCTGCTTGTTCATTGGCGGATTAGTACCTTTATGGTATTCTTTTCAGTACTCTCACCTCTGCCGTTTCCAGTAGCCTTTGCTTTATGGCTGTGTCGATCTTGTTTCTGAGTTATGTCATTATTGGTCTTACACTGGATTTATAAATTATTGACTTCATCTTAGTGTTAATGTGTCTGTTTCGCTATATAGTGTTATTAAGGCATCCTGCCAATCCATTTGCTTTTGAACTTGATCTCCCATTTCTTTGTCTAGATCTCCATTGCTAGACAGTGTAATTCTCAGGTATTTTATTTCCATTACTTCTTCAATACTGATGCCATCAACTTCTATGTTTACGTCTGGTTGGTACTTTTCTGACTACTATTGTTTTAGTTCTCTTGAGATGAGATTGTCATATTAAATTCTTTTGCTCTTATGTTAAATCTGCGGACCAGTCTTTGTAGACTATTTTCATCTTAAGCTATCAATATTGCGGCGTTTGCATAACAGAGTATTTTTATTTCTTTATTCCCCAGTCTGTATCCTCTTCCTTTGTTAACGTTTCTGATGATTTCATCCATGGTCAAATTGAAGAGCATGGAGCTCAATGAATCTCTTTGTTTTATTCCGCTGCCTATTTCTGTAGGTTCTGTAAGTTGTCCATCTATTCTGACTTCCTTTTTGTTGTTTTGGTAGATGTTTTCGATGTTTAGAGGAAAAAAGTATAAGCCAAAGAGTTCTATTAAATAATGTAAAGGTCAAATTCCGTATAATCTTATTAAAATAGAAATAAGGCCGGTTAGAGGGCGCTTGTAAATTAAACTTGACTAAATATAAAAACATTTTGAAAGATTCTTGTTTATGTTAGCACTATTTATGATTTTTATTATGGAATATTAATATTTGGGACTTACTTTATCAAACTGAACTTGTAAACAAGCAAAACAATTATTTTACGTCAAAACAGCTACAAAAATATACTTATCCCGCGGGAATTATTACACTTAGGTCTAGATGTTAAACTTTTCTTCTCTATATTCTTCCAATCCAATCACCTATTCTTTTATTTTTTTATACACATAAATGAGGCTTGAATTCAAAACTCAGCAATAACAAAAACTTAAGAAAACGAAGAGAAAGGATTGTTGATTGTTGAATTCGGATATTTATTATTTAAATGATATAATAAAAAATATATAAATAATTTATAAATTTATACAAAAAGTTCAAGAATGTTCAATCCTATAATGTGACATGTTATACAGAAGAAGCAAATCCGTCTTCGTTTCAGGGCAAACCGTAACTAGACTTCCCGACGTCTTATTCTTTCCGCAAGATTATATTAAAGAAATTGCGCTGACTGGTGATCTTAAAAACAACCCACATCAGACCTAGTCCAGTCTGTGTAACATATTCCAGTCCATTCCAATCTAGTCCATATTCTACGATTAGTAGTGGATATATGACTGGTCTTCTGTTTGATAAATTGTATTCAGTAAGTCATTGACGAACTGTCCTCTTGACTAAATCACATTAAGTACTTCATTTAGACTTTTTCAGTCCACATAAAGTTATATGCGTTTTTCTCAAACTCTCTCTCTTCAATCCTGACCCCCCAGGGGGAGTGTAGTGGTCGACGTGATGTCGTGTATTGTCCGTCTCCAGAGATCTCTGTTCTGGTCATTTCTTTTAATTCATGCATAGGTCTTTGGCATATTCCTGTAATTTGATCTATCCATCTTGTTGGGGATCTTCCTCGTGATCTTCGGCCTTCTACCTTTCCTTGTATTATGAGTCTTTCCATGTTTTCTGTGTTTGCTCTCATAACATGCCCAAAATATTTTAATTGTTGGAGATGGACTTTACTAGAGAGTCGTTGGCTAACTTTTAGCTCTCTTAAAATTGAATTATTTGTTCTACGGTCGGTCCAAGGAATTCGTAACATTCGTCTCCAACAGAACATTTCAGTGGCGTCTATCTTTCTTCTCTCCGATTGTCTCAGAGTCCAAGATTCACATCCGTAGGTCAGTATTGGGAATATTAAGCAGTTGATCAACCTCATCTTTATCGCTCTTGAAATTTGACATTCCTTCCATATTTTGGTCATTTTTGCTGTGGCAACTTTTGCTAGATCACATCTACGTTTAATCTCTTCTTGTAATGACCCTGTGTTTGTGATTAATGATCCCAGATATAAGTATGAGCTCACAACCTCGAACCGGTCAATTGTGGTTATGTGTGGATGATTGTTGTGTAGTCTATCCACTATCATGATCTTTGTCTTTGATATGTTTAATTGCAGACCAAATATTTGACTTTCGTTTTCGATCAGTCGTATAAGTTCCATCAGCTCTGCTTGACTATTTGCAAGAAGGGCTGTGTCATCTGCGAAACGTAGGTTGTTTAGTTTATGACCATTTATTGAGATGCCCTTTTCCATCCTTCAAGTGCTCTTCGCATAATATACTCTCCATATATGTTGAATAATTGTGGAGATAGTATACATCCTTGTCTGACACCCCGTTCTGGATGAAACTCGTTCGAAAGTGTGTCAAGTACTTTAACTGATCCAGTAGTGTGTTCATATAGTTCAGTTATAAGCGTAATTAGATGTTGTGGTACGCCTACTTCTTTTAGTATTCGCCATAAGTGTCTCCACTTGACCCTGTCGAACGCTTTACGGTAATCTATAAAACAGATGTATAGTGGGATGTTGAATTCCCTAGATTTCTCGATTATCTGTCTTATATTCAGCAGGTGTTCTCGAGTGCCTCTACCTTTGGTAAATCCAGTTTGCTCTTGTGGAATTTCTCTTTGAAGGAATGTTTTCAGTCTCTCATTGATTATATGTAGCATTATCTTGCTGGCATGGGATATAAGAGAGATAGTTCTATAATTGTCGCATTTATGAAAGCTGCCTTTTTTATGTATGGTCGTTATTGTAGATTTTGTCCAGTCTTCAGGCCATTGTTTGGAATGCCATATTTGGTTACAGAGTAGATGAAGTAACTTTACGCCGGTTTCTTCTGTGGCTTTAAGCATTTCTGCTGTTATTATATCTGGACCTGGTGCTTTGTTATATTTGAGCTTGTTGATAGCCTGTCTTACTTCATTTTCGAGTATATCAGGTTCTTCTTCCACCTCGTCAGAGATTTGGCTAACAAGCTCTTGGCGTTGATCATCTTTATATAGTTCCCTGCAATACGATCTCCATGTCTCTGCTATGTCTTCTCTGTTTGTTCTCAGGGTTCCAGTGTTATCTTCAATGACACAAGTTCTGGCTTTGAAGTCTCTTGTCACGTAGCGTATTTTTCTAAATAGATCTCTCGTCTGATTATTCTGACCATGTCTCTCAATTTCTTTGCATATACTTTGATAGTACTGTTTTTTGTCGGCCTTACATCTTCGTTTTATTTTTTTATTGAGGTTTCTTAAACTAGCTTTTTCCCTTTCACTATGTACACTACTTTTACAAAGATTTCTTCTCAAACATCAGGATACAAAATAGATCATTGTGTAAGGATATCTGATCAAAAGCTTTCATTAAATCACAAAAATGCTCTTTGAAAAGCAGCTCAGCCTCATAATATTGACTACAACCATCTAGAACTAAGGCCACTGGTCTTGCAGCATTCGTCAATATTTAATTCATTCAAAAATGAATACTGTAATATAAATTACTGTACTTACACACTGTACAGTTCTTCTTCTTGTTGTGCCTTTTAGATCAGTTTCGGATGTTGGCGACCATCATGGCAATCTGTATTTTGCAAACTGCTGCTCAGCAAGCAACAACCGCAAAGATTTGTGGTTGTTGTGTTGAACCACATACGTAGATTTTTCAGCTAGGAAATCCTTCACGTTTCTGGTACCTGTTTTTCTTCTACTTTTTCCTGTAACATAAATTGCAGCAATCCATATATTTCGCTGTTTCCCATGATGGGGTCGTGGTATTCGATTTTGGCTGATTTTCTTGTGATTGACAATAACTGTGCAATAACTTGTGGTTAAAGTTGTACAATTGCACACATTTTTGCACCTGAATGTATAATTACACAAATATAGCTGGTATGTAAATTTTATCGTCATAACCTTGGCATCTATCGTGATAAAATCAGTAAGATAAGTATATTTTTTGTGTGATTTATTTGATCTACTACAAATATAAATGGGTATTTTCATTATATTCGAAGTACTTTGCAAATACCATTTTATCCCCATGAAGTATCATGACGGATATCCTGTCTTCCATTAGATATTTTGGTGATACTTTCCTTTTGTTATATAACTGACATTAAGCGATTCTTAATCTTGCGTTATTTTCGTTTTAACTTGCCCTAACGATCTTAACCCATACTTTCTTTTGACCCATAACTACAATCTGTTTGTTGCATGTAAGTTACATCATCATCATCAATGGCGCTACAACTCTTCGTGAGTCTTTGTCGCGTTTACTATTGCCTTCCATGTTTGTCGGTCCTATGCCAGTAATTCCCATTGTCGCACTCCCATCTTCTCTAGATCTTCTCTGACTGCATCTTTCCACCTTTTTCTAGGCCGCCCTACAGACCTTCTTCCATCTGACCTTTCTCAGAACACATTGTTTATAAGGCGATTGTCGTTACTGCATATCACATGTCCTGCCCATCTGAGTCTATTGGCCTTTATATATCTGACTAGATTTTCTTTTCCGAATAGAGACTCTAGCTCGTTACTGTATCTGCGCCTCCATTCGTTTGTCACGCTGTCTCTGCAAGGGCCATATATCATTCGAAAGAATTTTACGTTCCACACCAGCAATTTATTTACTTCTCTTTTTGTCATCGTCCATGTTTCGCTTCCATACGCGACTGCCGGTCGTATTATGGTCTTATATATCCGGAACATGCAAGTTACACTACTCATTAATTTATGCACCTTTAATTCGAAACACATAAATTATTTTTTGTAGCTGCCGAAAATTTTATGAATAGCTAGACTAGCGGCGGCCTTAAAATTTAATTTACACTTTAATTTCATTGGACTTTATTTGTCACACATTACGATTCACTTCATCATCCAAAAATAACATCTTATTTGTAATAATACTTCCATCCTCCATACAAGGCCTTGAAGGCATAGGACTGAAAAACAATTAACACAATATCTTATATATACTTATATATACTTATATATTACAAAACTTATATCCAATGGGATCGCTTCTTGACCAATCATGCTTCTTGCCTATTAAATTGACTAACAATTCTCCTCCACTCATCCGTGTTTATTGCATTTTCTACACAAATATCAAATACCTATTTTCTTAAATCTTTCTGTAAGCTAATAAACTATGTTTGTCTGGATTGTCCTTTCCTTCTTTCGTGGTTATGCCCCGCTTCAGGATCATATTTGGCATAGTCTTCCTTTCTATTCCTATCACGTGCCCCATGGATCTTACTCTCTGTGCTTTAATGAAGTTACTCACTTCATCATCCAAAAATACCATCTTATTTGTAATAATACCTCTATCCTCCATACAAGGCCTTGAAGGCATAGGGCTGAAAAACAATTAATATAATATCTACTTATATATTACAAACTTGATCCATTGGAATGCTTCTTGCCAATCATGCTCCTTGCCTATTAAGTTGACTAACAATTATCCTTCACTCATCTTGTTTATTGCACTTTCTACACAAATATCAGGTACCTTATTTCTAAAATCTTTCTGTAAGCTGATAAACTATGTTTGTCGTGATCGTCCTTTCCTTCTTTCGAGATTAAGCCCTGTTTTATAATCATATTTGGCATCGTCTTCCTTTCTATTCTCATCACGTGCCCCATGGATCTTACTTTCTGTGCTTTAATGAAGCCACTGATGCTTTGGTAGTCATATAGCCCTGAGAATTTTACCTGCCTATCTTTCCAATATCCTACTTATATGGTACAAAATTTGTATCAAATCATGCTCCTAAATTGACTTGCAATTCTCCTTTATTCATCCCTGTTTATTGAACTTTCTTTCCAAACACCAAATACCTATTTTCTAAGATCTTTCTGTATGCTATTAAACCATCTTTGTCTGGGTCGTACTTTCCTTCTTTTTATGATTGGGCCCCATTTCAGGATATTATTTGACATCATCTTCCTTTCCATTCTCATCTCACTCTCATGCATCTCACTATCTGTGCCTTTATGAAGCGACTGATGTTTGGTTCGTTATACAGTTCCTCTAGCTCCCTGTTTGCTGGTGGCACTATCATACGTTATTGTGGCTTTATTATATATTTATACATTCATAACTTTACTTTTCTTGATACATATTTGGATTTACTCAGTGGTTTTACGCTTGCCATCTTTTTATTTTCCTTTTGCCAATCTGACATTCAGTTCCCATTCTTTCTGACTTTTCTCTTCTGTGATAACCTCCAGATCCGTAAAATGGACCACTACTTCGAATTTATATTTTCTTGATTTATTAGATATGAAAGTAAACTGTCCCTATTCTTTTTGCTCTGTATTTACGAGTATCATGTACTTTGACTTTTCCTGTCTTATTTATAGGTCAAAATCTTTTGCCCCTTTCCAATCTTTTTAAGACACTTTATTTTCTTGTTTTCGTTTGTAAGATCATCAGCGAAGCCACTGTCGTCTGGGCTCTTATTGTTTATGATGGATCCGTCGTTTTAACTCGGCTATTTCTGATTATTGTTTTCAATATCACATTAAAAAGCACCGTGGATAAAAGATCTCCTTGTCTAAGACCTTTATTTACTTCAAACTCATTTGATGAAAATCCTCTCCATATTACATGATTTTGCGGTGATTCAGAGGTATTCTTACTAAACTTACCAGTTTTGTGGGTATGTCCAAAGAGCTCAGTGCTTCATACATGTTGTTCCTTCTTATTATATCATACGCTTGTTTAAAATCTATGAACAACGCATGAACGGTTATCTTATGTTCATAGCAGTTATTTTGGATTTCTTTTAGTATAAAAATCTAATCTGTTACTGATCTGTTGACTCAAAAACCGATCTGATACTCACTTAGTTTATCGCCAGCAAATATCTTGAGTCTCTTACTTAGTATCCTCAATAATACATTATAACAAATATCCAGCAGAGCAACACTCTTAAAATTTTTTAGCATTTACGCAGCTTTTTTGATATCTTTGAGCCCATTTTTTTATGTAATAATTGTAATTCTGGTATCCCCTTTCAGTTTATCAACTTATTGATAAAACTACCGTATTTTTTTTAATCTTTCCTCAAATTTCTTATATTATTCTTTCGTTATATTTTTTTTCTTTCGTAAACATATCCTTCTCATTATTCTTCTTAGTCTTTGTTACACTGTGGTTTATACCATCATTAATGTGTGTTATTGTCAACTGCCTTAATACCTTCTTTTCCTCTGTCATTTTAAAGTATTTTTCATTAAACCAATTCTTCCCTGCTTTCGGAGATCTGGAGAAGCACGCCAAACTGTCTGTGTATATATTCAAATTCTTCTTCAATTGCAGTTCGGAGGTCGGAAATAATGCGTGGTCCTCTTGCAAAAACGCAGTCCTTAAGAAGGCCCCACAGGAAGAAATCACAGGGTGTTAGGTCACATGACCGTGCGGACCAGTAGAGTACGAGTAGAGTACGAGTTAAGTGCGAACGAGTAGTGCGGCGAAGTTCCATCCTGCATGAAATGTTAGATGTTGGCGAGTGTTGGATCGTTCTCCATTTGCCGACGTAAATCTTCGAGCATTTCCGATTTTTACCATGGCGATTATTCGAGAGCGTTGCCTATATCATACCACGTCATCCCTTAACAGTTCGCAGCCGGTCGACGTTGTTTATCTAGATTTCTCTAAAGCCTTTGATCGTGTACCTAAGCGCAGACTTCTACATAAGCTAAAAAATTTTGGAACTCGCTGTACTTTACTTCGTTGGATAGATGATTTCCTGACAGATCGACATTACAAAGTTAGAGTTGGCGAATCTTTCTCACAGGACAGGTTAGTGGAAAGTGGAGTGCCTCAGGGTTCTGTCCTTTTACCTCTGCTTTTTACGGTTTATACCAGCGATGTTCCTTATTATGTCTCAAGTAAAATATCGTTCTACGCTGATGACACAAAAATATATGCCAATCCAATCACTAACCAGATAACTCTCCAAATGGACTTAAACTCTATTTTAACTTGGTGTTCCCAGTAGTTACTACTATTTAATGCGAAAAAATATGTAGTGCAAAAAAAATCATACGATTTCTACCTGGCGAAATCGAATTCAAATCTCAGCCACTGTGCTTTCTAAAACTTGCAAAGCAAACAGCTTGATGAATAAATCGGCAAGGGAATCTAAGATTGCATTCCAAATGGCGTTCATCATGGCCAAAATTCGTAGTGAATTGAATTTCTGGTACTCCAAACGAAGTAAAGAAATAAACAAAATGACGGTATTAGATGGCTTCGAATTGGTAAAAATAACCCACTTGTGCCGTACTTTGTTAACGAATAGCCATTAGATTATGTATTTTCGTATAACGACCTTTGTGTAATCGTAAACAGCAGCCTAACTTGGTCCGACCATATTACCTCTATTTGTAAACGTGCGAACTCCAGACCACTTCTTATTCGAAGGTGTTTTCGAGAGTTTTAATGCAATTATTGTGTAAACTTTACACTCTTTATGTACGACCCATACTTAAATACGCTGGACCAACGTGGTATCCTGATTTGGTTCGAGACAAGACTTTGTTGGAAAATGTTCAAAGAAAAGCCACTCGAATTCCTTTGGGACAAAGAAGACCTTCTTATACAGAAAGACTTGGTATGGCTAATCTAACTTCTTTTGAACTTCGCCGACAACGTGAAAACTTAATTACAACAATAAAATGAGTTTAAAATATTGAAATTCAATTTTGGAAATCTCGATGAAATGTTTACCGTAAATCAAGAAGAATGCCTCGAGGAGAATAAAGTTTTTGAGTGCTGGAATAACCTTAATTATAACATTGTCTCTGCTTCCTCTACCAACTCTTTTAAAAACAGACATGACCGTTTTATACTACATTTAAAATATTGTTTTTCTTTTAAACCAAAAATTGTAATTTTTTAATTTTGTTATTTTCTAGTAGGTTATTAATGAAATTTCTTTGTTTTTGGGCATAACAAGACTTGTTCCTCTGTCCTCGCTTATGTATAATGATAATAATAATCAATTTTGGAAATGATAAATAGAAATGACTAATTGGTATTTTTCTTTTTGCAGCCAATTTGGCCGGCCTTAGCGAAGGCCTTCACTTCTCATGGGTGTCTCCGTTCCTAGTCAAAATAACCAATGATAAGGTGAACTACAGCATCACTGAAGAAGAAGCTTCTTATTTCAACATAGTGACCCCACTGGCTATGACAATATGCACCCCACTCTTCGCCAAGCTTTCCGACAAGATTGGAAGAAAGCGTACTTTCTTACTTATAGCTATCCCGCATACCTTAGCATGGATCATCAAGGCCTTCGCCACGAATGTGTATCACTTTTACATAGCGCGGTTTATGGCAGGTGCTGCTAATGGATGTTCTTTTTCAGTATTGCCCATTTATATGGGAGAGATCTCTCATCCGGACATAAGGGGCACTTGGGGCAATGCCTTACCCACATCCATGTACATCGGAGAACTCTTGATCAATATTATCGGCAGCTACTGCGGAGTACGAATGACTTCTTTTATTTGCATGCCTCTACCTATTTTATTCGTTATTTTGTTTTGGTTTATGCCAGAATCACCCTACTGGTACATCATGAAGGGAAGATATGAAGACGCTAAAAAGTCTTTAAGATTTTTAAAACGAAAACAGAACATTGATGGAGACTTCAAGCAGTTGAGGGAAGATGTGGAACGGCAGCTAACAGAATCTGGAAACTGGTTTGATTTGGTAAAAATTAAAAGCAATAGAAGAGCTTTTGTTGCTGGTCTCTTTTTAAGGTTCACCCAGCAAACATCTGGTATGGGTGTTTTCCTGGTCTATACTCAATTCATTTTCCAAAAGTCTGGTGGTAACGTTACGCATCAAATGGCTTCTATCATATACTTCGCTACCAGTTTGGTCCTTAATCTTTTTGCGTTATTCTTTATTGTAAAGAGATTTTCAAGAAAAGGTTGCTACGTTGTTTCGGTGTCAGCAGCTGGAATAGTACTATACATCATGGGCGCCTACTTTTACTTGGACTCCAATACAAACACAGACCTTTCATCATTCCAATGGATGCCTATCACTAGCATGGTTTTGCATCAAGTATTTTTGTCATTTGGAATATCAGTAATACCAACGCTTATGTTAGGAGAGCTGTTCACTAGCAACATCAAAGCTAAAGCCATGACTTTACTCATGATAGAATTTGGTCTGGGCAACATACTTATGAATACTATTTTTTACAACCTCAACGTAGGTATTGGATTCTATGCGCCGTTCTTCTTCTTCGCTGGTTGCTGCACTTTCGCCACAATTGCTGCATTTTTTGTTATTCCAGAGACAAAAGGCAAAACTTTGGAAGAAATACAACAAATACTTAAAAAATAACTTGTTTCTTGTACTTACTGAGATTGCTGAAAGACTGAGACTATAAGATATTAAGGGTTTTCGTTCCAATAATCGGAAAAGATACATTTTTACTACAAAACCAATGTTGTAACAATAACTGCACTGAAAAGAGGCAACAAGCGATTTAACAAATAACGTACTGGTGAAAATTTGATCCAAACATCGATTTTATGTCTATTCTATCGATACAATTAGAATTTATCCATCTAGAAAAATAAATACTTGGGCATAATTTATGTCACAATATTTATCTAGAAATAATGTAGTGACACATAACTACAATACCAGTAGCTGAAATTAGTTTATTCCTTGCCATAATTTATAATATTATACAAAAAGTATTTTTAATTTTATAAAAGATACCGACATTTAAATTTATTGTTTTTAATAAAACATAAATATAACTATAATGAAGTTTCTTTATCCTATAATTTTAAAACACATTAACAATAACAAGGTATTGTTTCGAAGAAATACTCAAAAAATACACTGTACAAGAACGAAAAATGAGCTACTTTGATCAAATACTAAGAAATAAAAAATATGAGTTAATGCGAGAAGAGACAAGAGAAATTGAAAGGAAAACCTGAGGAATCACTTTCTGTACTAACCCATTTTTTTAAGTTTTCGAATAAAGCAAGATTGCAAGTTTTAATGAAAAAAATTGTGAATTAGATAAATAGCTTCAGAACAATATTAAAAAAATTGTGGGTTCTTAATTACTAAATTGTTTTTATATTTATCCATTATGTTTACTGTATTGTTCCATTTGTGCTTTTAAATATGTAAATTTTGTTTCTTTATCTGGTTTTTGAATAAGTTAGTACAGTAAACATTACAGCACACAGTTAGTACACATTGTTCTGTGAAACTCTGTTTTTGATTAAAGACTACATAGAAGTTAAATTACAAAATATTAAAAACAAACATTATTGCAGTTCTTCATCGTCACTGCTTGAAGTAATTGCATATTTTTATGATGTATCAGAATATAGAGTTCTATAGAAGCCATGGTACATAGTAGGAATTTTTCCAGTATCGCAAAGCCATAATAACCCAGTTAATTTCTTCTTACCTATTGGCAAAAGATTTGTGTATACTCTCAATGGAAATTTGTCAATACGACATAAACGTCCCCTTTTAGCTTTTGTTAGATCGGAACTGTTAGAATCGGAAATTAAATAATACTTAAAGAGAACAACATTTGGTGTATTATATGAAGTACTGATTTCCTTTATTTGACTGATTTTGATCATTCCTTTTCCATTGTCAGTTTTCCATTTTTTGTTTTGAAATGTAGAAAGTCTTCTTTTGACATTTCTGTTATAGATTATTACTTTTTTTATGGTTTTGGCCATTCTTATCAAAGTAATCCATTGTTCCGAAACATGCAAGACCGACTGACGTTTTTTCGCGTTTTCAATTATTACAGCATGCACGCTGTCTCTCTTATTTTGGATGTGACTTTTCTCTGAAAATCTACTTGTAAATAAATAGCTGTATAAGCAAACATTAAAAATGGTGGTTTCTGTTTTGCCCACCACAGTTATCCGAATATTTAATTTCCTTCTTTTTTGGGTCTCTATACCACAAACAGCTAGTAATTTCGTTTTAACCTCATTTAGCAATTTGTTCATGTTATACATAACAGAAACCATCATTGGTGGCTATATTAACATATGGTGAAGTTGAATGTGGCATATTTACTTTTATAATAAAAATCGCTTATTTTCGATTGGAGAGTCGCCAAAACAAAGATCGAAACGAGCAACGCAGGTGGTCTTATCAGTCAAGGCGGGTTCTTTGTCACTGTTTTTCATATCTCTAACCACTCTTTTAGTGGCTAAGTGACCTTTATAGTTCTCCTGTGAAAGTCAACCTTCCCAGTTTCATCAGCTAGGTTAAAGACTGAGCAAACATGCACATCTCTATGCTGTGGATCCGTAGCAATTTGTCCAATATTGTTTTCACCACTATAAAATTTCGTACCTATATAGTTGTTCCATATTTTGAATGCTTCAATTTATCCAAGTTTGTGAAATACCAAGAGTTTTTAAAAACATTTCGGAGAAAAATTCCTACGACAGTGTAAACCAACAGAAACAGTACTTTGTTTTCTATGTGTGTCACATGCTGCACAATAAAGTCTCCTTGCCTTGTATGATCTTGCAAGTTCCTAAAGTCTTTAAAAATTATCTGTCTCATTTCTTCATTTATTTTTGTGGTACACTAGGTCTGCATGTTTGTTGGTAAGGTTCGCCCATTTTTCTTTCCTTAACCAGTTTTCTCTATCGATTTGTATGTTCCAACCATCGAGCAATAAGACAAAAGAGGGAATCTAATCCTTATGAAAAGGAGACCAAAAAAGTGGCCTCTGATGGCGGACATATCCGGAAATGCGAATGCGCCAAATTTAAATTTTCCGACACTTATCACAGTAGCTATATGATATTTTTCCGAATGTGTCTTAGACGAGAAAGTTTTAATTAATTATTAATGATAAGAGTCTAAAATGCGACACAATTGTTAAAAAACTTCAATATAAATAAGATTTCATGTGACATTTTGGACAAACAATAACATAACCCAACTAAATTTGATGTCAACAAGAAGAGAGACTGTCTTTCCTTGTTTAATGTGGCCTCTAAAGATCGCACTTCCTGTCTAACAATATGTTTGCCCCCACTACCTTTACATTCCCTCTTTTGTCTTTTTGCTCGATGGTTCGAACCCACGATCTAGACCAGTTTTAGATTTTACATCAATCCATTCTTCTTTTTTTTTTCTCGTTTTCTACCCTCTTTAACTCTAGTATTACTGTTCTCGTTATTCTTATTCTTACTTATTTGTTCCTTATTTTGCTTTATATTATCATATGAAAAGATAAATAATTCATGTTTCTTTGCCTAAACATCCTAAACATGGTGAAATTAACTTTTGTTCGTTGAAAGATATCACCAATGACGTCGTCATTGAATATCAAGGTAATCTAATTCTTCAGGGGTGTAAACTCAAAAACGTCAAAAATTAAATTGGTACAGTCTTAGCTGGACGAGTCGATATATCCTCTCAAAACGCTTCTAAAAAAGTTACCAATGCGGTTTACAAATTTTAAGAGTCAATACGTTCACGTTCATAGTTCACTATCGGTTAATTTATAGTTTTTCTTTGTTATATTTACAACTTATTTAATTCAATTATTTGAATAACTTATAGATAAAAAAAGTAATTGTAAATTTCATTTCAACTAATGTTGATGTGTGGCTCCATCTATTAGTGTTCAGGTATAATAACATTGAGCTTTCAGTTCAAAATTGCAGTTTTCTTTTACCGGCCAGGTTTATAATGGGTTTATTAACTATGTAGTCGGGTTTTGAAAGAAACATTAAAAACATATCGGATTAAATTGATTCAGGACATACAAAAATATGCATACATAATTTACCAACGAACAAAAAATAATTAAGTGCTCTTTAGTGCTTTTGCTATTAGCAATACTCAGCATTTAATGAATTTCTGTGGAAGAAAATTGAGATTTAAAAATATCCACTATCGCGCAACTATCAATTTGGATTAGATACATTTTTTCCATGAAATATTGTAATTTTTCACCATATTTTTTGTCAGTACCTACATTCCTAAATTATTAAACATTCTTCCTGAAATTTGAAGTAATTTTAATATATCATTGAAAAAAATGTACCTCACTTAACCGAATAGTGGCGCCATCTCTCAGAGAGTTTTAAACATAAATATAATACCTTAGATTAAACCGTTGATTGAATATTTGGATTATTCAATCAACGATTAAACACATACAAAATTAAGTAAAATATAAGGGAAAAATGTTAGCAAAAGCATTGCGATTGCAAGTAAGGCAAGAGATAATGAGAAATTATAGTACAAAATTTAAAAAAAGATGTGAAACATTATATCCCACCTCAAGGCGCAGAGGAAATGATCCTGGACCGGCTTGAAACTAGAATACTACAAGCATGACTGGAGCATTTTGAATAGTTGTGGTACTGTGATGGGAAACGCAACGGGAAAACCACCACATTATATTTTCCACAAATCTAAATGGCAGACGAAAACAAGAAATTGGACCTCAGTCCGGGACACCCATTATAAATGTGGAGATGATGGGAAGACGGGAAGAGTGAATGGACAGAGAATATAATATGACATGATAGTACGCATTGCCACCTGCAACGTACGCAGCTTGTTCATGTCCGAAAAACTTGCAACCACCGAAGCCGAGATAAGAAAAAAGGACATCTTGGGTCTTGGGATAAGTGCAACAAAAAGGCTGTTTTCAGGAAAACAAAAAACAAAAGTTGGATACATCTACTATTTAGGAGAAACCGACCGTATCGAGCAAAATTGCTGAAGTGAACAAAGTTGGAGGAAAAAATTGAAAAGTTTAATAACAACATAGATGAAAGAATGCGACTGACAAAAAGAGGCGAGAAAACGATGATTATTGGTGACTTTAACGCCAACATTTCTCGTGGTGCTGAACGACAGAACATAGGTGCAGACAATCTTGGTATCAAAAACAATAGGGGGAGAGTCTTGTACAATTATGTGTAGAAAACAAGGAACAAATAATAGAACAGGTATCTTCCATAAAATATTTGGGGGCAAATATCAACAGCCAGTGTAAATAAAAAAAGAAATCCTGTCAAGAATCGAACAAGCAAGGAAAACACTTATGAACATAAAATCTTAGTCTAGAGCTCAGAATTCGAATGATCAGATGTTACGTTATCTCTGTTTTGCTTTATGACTATGAAAGTCTGACAATGGAACATAAAACAGAAAAATAAATAGACGCATTCCATGGGTACAAAAAGTTACCAAAGGTGAAGTACTTCGGCGACTAAGTAAACAAAGCATTTAAGAAGCAAAAAGCAAAGAATTACTAAGCATAATCAAAAAGAGGAGAATACAATACTTGGGTCATGTGTTGAGAAGGAAACGATATGAATTACTCCAAATTCCAATATCTTTTCGTGCAGCAGTTTCTGAAGCTACTATTTCCATTTAGATCGAAAATATTCGAAAGGAGATAGCAGGATAATAATGAAATAGCACAGCTAAATTACAAACTTCCCAGCCACGTTTTAAGACACAAATGACAAAGATAAAATAACATTATTACAAATTAAATTAAAAGCTCCAACAGTGAAATAATAGGGAGATATGGAGAAGACATTCTGAACGACAATGGTCAAAGATTAATAGATTTTTGCGAGGCACATTCTTTGAAAATATTAAATGGTTTGTTCCCCCATAAGAATATACATACATTTACATGGACGCAGCCTACCAGGAATTTAAAATCAATAATTGACTATTTCATTCATCGTAAAGATTCTAAACT